CACACACTATCAAATAAAATGTGTGTGCTCTCACACTTTTCTATTAGATGCCATTAATGTCAATGTCAAACATATAATGTCATTTTCTTTTACTCTCTCAATACGTTCTCTTTCATTATTTTTATTACTATTATTATTACATTCCTTGCGGGTTATCTGAAGAGAATGATCAGTGAAATGGAGCAAAACACATATGTATATAGAGGATGAATATAAGTGCATGTCTTCCTCCTGACTGAGAAAAACAACTAACCACCCATTTCTGCTGGGTAAGCAAATTATCTCATTCATAGATTCATAGACGATTAGGGTTGGAAGAGACTCAGGAGGTCATCTAGGCCAACCCCCTGCTCAAAGCAGGACCAACCCTAACTAAATGCCAATTTGAATTTCATTCTTTCCCTCGGTAAATTGAGCTAGAAGAGGAAGAGGGAAAGGGAAAGGCAGGTTTCTGAAATATTGTAAGAATTTGATCATGAAAAATGGGTCCTGTGACTGTGGCTATTGGTACCCTGACTGAAAGTTCACAGCTATGACCCCTCTACAGAGAATTGAAGGCTGCCTCAGGAAATTCTTTCAAACAACTAACCCTCTATGAGAACAATTACAATTAACTAAGACTCTCTACCCTGGATAACTTGGATATCATTTTTATTTTTGAGAGAGATTGTGATCATTAACCACCATGTAATATGCAAGTTTTAAGGAGTAATCAATATTCTTTATATAGGTGTGCAGAGATAAACAGGTTTTTTGTTTTGTTTTTTTCAGGTGTGGTTTTTTTTTAAATGAGTATTTGGAGAGAGTTTGGAAAAACATGGGAATTACCTTGGATACTTTTTGCTAATTGACATTAGCAGTCATTAGCAATGCCTCATTGACTTTCAGAGAAGAGTTGTTGGGTGAAGGATGTCTAGAAGGTTATCCAAGACCTCCTGAACACAGCTAATAAAATGTCTAAGTTCTTAGCAGCATGCCTGAAGGCCGCAGATTCCTTGAGGGAGGGCTTTTAGGTGAGAATCTTTTCTTAAGGAAACTAACACCTCTTCTTTATTCTACCCATTCTCCTCAGATCTTATCACTGAGTTCAGTGGAATCCCCTTGACCAGGGAAAGTCACTACAGATTGGTGAAGCTGTTTTGGACAAGTCAAAAGCAGATGAACCCAAGAAATATGAAGGGTCAGGTGATGGATTGCATAACTAATACTACGATAAAGAGTACATACACCAAACATATGCTAACAGAACCACACTGGACTGAAGGGTGGAGAGGAAAGTCCCTGAGTATCAAAAAATAAAAATTTAGAAAAACAGCATGCACATACCTTGAGGGACTATGATGGATGTATTGACATCTCTAGGTCACATGCAGACATCTCTGCCTCAAGTATTAAAGTGATGTTAATGCAGTTCTTAATATGCCTGAGGTATGCATAAAAATGGCTTATGGTCTGTTTACATAAAATTTTCTTAGGCCTGGTCTACACTAAAAAGTTAGGTTGACACAGTTATATCACTCAGGGGTGTGAAAAACCCATACCCCCTGAGCAATGTAGTTAAGTCCATTTAACCCCTGGTGTAGACAGCACTATATCAATGGAAGAATTCTTCTGTTGACCTAGCTCCTGCTTCCCAGGGAGGTGGATTACCTCCGCCAATGGGAGAACTGCAGCTGTGCTACTGTGGCATTTCAAGTGTAGACAGGCTCTCAATCATCATTCATGGACCAATTTGTGTGTGTGTATATATATATACACACACACACACACACACATATATATATATATGAATGAAATGTATGGAAGAATGACACTTGAGTTTTGACCAAAATAAATATAATAAAAATATGAAACTTGCATTGTGTAAAGGAAATAGAAGAAAAAACAAACAAGGATGATTCTGTGGTCATGGCAGTGAACTCAGACTCATGACTTCTGGGTTAAATCCCCATTTCTGTCACATATTTCCTGTGGGACCTTGACCAAATCATATGCCAATCTCTCTGTTCCTTAGCTGTAAAGCAGGATTGATAATATCCCTTAGCTCACAAGGTCATGCTGAAAATAAAGGTATTAATGGTTGAGTCACACACAAAGTGATGGGACTCTCATAAATATCCAGATAAGTGGAAAATGAACCCTGAGAAACTTTTAAGCCCTGCTGGACAGTCTGTTTAAAAAATACAAAACACTTAAGAGGCAGATTTGCATGCTCTGGTATCCATAGGCTATACTACTGGTTCAGCACCAATTAGCCCCCATTGAGATCGATATCCTCAACCAACTACAAAATTCCAGGAATTCTTTTTATCAGACATGAACTTTTCAAGCATGTGGTTGCTGAGAAATGAATGGAGGACAACCCGTGTGTATAAAGTATGACAAATAGGAGAGTCATTTTGAAATCCTGAATTTACTACATTCACTATTACTTTTGGCTTCATGTAATGCATTTGCAAAGCCATAATTCTATTTCATTCCATCAGACTCTGAGAGAGGTAAAAAAGTAGCTAATAATTGGCCTGCTCAATGAAAGAAACAGGAATGATATATTTAATTCGGTATATTTTGGGGGGGAGGGGAGAACCCTGATGTGTTATGTTATATGAGGCTAATACAAATAATAATTTAAATATAAATTAGTTTCCACTCTTATTATTCTAGGGTTTCATTAGTCAGAAATATGTGATATGCAGGCAGATGTGGAAACTGACATAGTGATGTATGTTTGCTGTCTTAATTTACCACAGGCAAGTGACCTAGTCAAATAGCACTTAATGTTACATAAAATTTGCTGACTGTGTTTTGCATGTATTCCGCTGGATAATGATTTGAATACTATTGTATCTTATTAAATATGACTAGAGATGCACCTCAAGTCTGCCTTTATAAATAGACCAAGTTCTGCAATCAAACTTGTTGTGAGGATCCGCAGGTCCTGAACCTGCCCCCCGCACCCCACTGCTGAAGCCACCCCCTCCCCCCAGTGTCTCTTCCAGTGACTGGAGCATTGGGAGCCCTAAGGCCTTGCATTCCACTAAAGGTAACACCCACAGGGACCTGACTGGAGGGGCTCCTCCAGAGTTCCTGATTGGGCCAGGTGCACTATTCAAGTTACAAAGACACAGGAAGTTGTCTGTGCCACAAGGTGGATCCTGGCTTGAGGCTATTTCAGACCTCGCTGTGTTTGCTACCTCACTCGTGGTCTCATCTCAGGTTTCTAACTTGGACCCCGTCCTCTTCCTGGCTCCTGCCCTCAGCCTTATTCCAGTCCCTGAACCCTGCTGCCCTGTGTTTGACTGCTCTGGCTCTGACCCTAGAGTACAGCTCTTTGGCTTCTGACTCAGCACTGACCCTCGGCTCCTGTTTCCTATCTGATCCTGGCTTCAACTTTTGGCTCTGGCACCTGGCTCCTGATTCAGATCTGGCTATTGGCCTCTGGTTCCTGAACTCAGAGGTGATCACCAAGCCAGACCACCCACATCCCAGTTGCTGGTACCAGTCTTCCACAATCTTTTGTTCATATAAGCAGAAACAATACTATGTATTTTAAAATAGTAATTAACTAAACAAAAAGACCTCAGTAAGACTGACATTGTTTGAGGTCAACTGGACTCTTATCCAATTGAAAGGAAAAAGAAATTAGATGAGTTGGCAATGTAAAATTATTTTCAACAAATGTGTCAACATCTCCACAGAACACAACAACTTCAGCAGAAGCTATTTGGTGGAGACGACCTGATTCATTAGGAATTGGTTTGCTTAATTAAATAGCAGAAACAGTACACCTTACTTCACATAAAAGAGAAATTGATATTACTCTTCACTTCTAACTGAAAGAAAATAGGAAAAAATAATGAGCAAAAGGATGCTGACAGGAGGTAGTCAGTGCAATAGTCTTCTTTCAACTACATTCCCAGTGTTGACTCACACTCCTGCACCAAATTAATACAAATAATTTCTAAAGAGAAATAAAGTGTAAAAAAAACCCCAAAACAAATGACCAATAAGGTGGAATTGACATAATGTCTACGCTACAAAGGTAAGTAATTTCATGACCTTACTTTGTGCAATCCATATCCCTCCCTTCCCCTTTCCACCTTGTCTGCTGCCATCTAGCCCTATGTCATGAGGGCCTGGGCCTGAAGATTATTCACACAGTGTTTGTAGGATCAATCCCATAGACTGTAAGTACCAAACCAGATCTTCAACTGGTATAAATCAATGTAACGCCAATAAACCAATGAAGTTCTGCCAGTGGAAACCCTGACGATCCAGCTCCATTATTTATATTTGTTGCTATATCAACATACATCCATATTGTATGGTGCTGTGTTAATAAACATGCAGAACATACAGTTCATGTGGGAAGTACATCACAAACTAGGTGATTGCTGGTGAACATGCTAATGCTCTATTGCCATTTGCAGAGGTTCAACACCACACCTCATTATCTAACTGCAGTAACTGTAGCATATTTGATGGTCTTTATTGCTAACGGTAGAGTCAAACCCAAGAAGATGAAAGGAAGAAAGCCTCATAGCACTCATTTGTTACTGCTGTAGAGGCCCATTAAGCCTCATGCTGAGGCATCCAGGCTTCTGAGTCCTTATCAAACCTAATAAAAAAGAATGATTGGGCACATGACACATGTTCGCAGGCTTCAAGAGGTTAAAATAAACAGCACAAAAGGAAGGTGCATAGAAGCATTTTCCAGCACAAGCAACAGGAAAATGCAGCATCAAATGGGTAGTGTTTTATGAGCATGCCAATGTCTTTGGAAATGGACTATTTGGGAGAGAGGGAGTTGGATGTTGAGAAAATAGCTACTATGTGAACATTATGTATACAATAGCTATAGGCATTTGCAGCAATAGGAAGGTTAGGATCAAGGGGGCTTTCAGGAGGTGAAGATGAGAAAGTTAGCAAGGGCTAAACTGTGCAGGCACTTTCAACAAAAAATCAAATATTGGTATGTGGTTTTTTTAATAAAATCTCACCATAGTTCTGAGGCCCAGCCTCACCTCATTGGCCATCTCCAGATAGGAAAGGGAAAGAAGAACAGGGAGAAAAAATGGATCAAAATAGTGAGGCTAATAGTGTACTTAATATTTTACTCTTTTTAACAAACATTTTCTGCCATATGTCTAACATTGGTGTTTGTTTTAGCAACAGTATATCATATTCTTGCAAAGATAGTCCCATTGCAGCCAGGGTCACATGCTACAATAAAGCCTATTTTTCATGAGGCAATATATAGACCATCTGAAACTGCAGTGTGATTAGATAGGTTGATAGGCTCTCTGTAACCCCGTCATTCTGATATTGAAAAAGTTTAAATTCACTAAGGGCCTGATCCAGAACACATTGAAATCAATTGTAGTCTTTCCATGGTCTTCAGGGGACCTTGGGTCATGTCCTAAACGATTGGATGTTGACATACAAAGGGCTTGATTCTGCATTCTGCTAGGGCTGTACCTGCACATCCTGACTTGCACCAGTGAAGGAGCTGGCATAGCAGAGCCGTGCTCGGTCATACCCCTTACTCTCCCCATTCTGTCCAGGCCCCACCGCTGAAACACCCCCTTTTGCCCATTATGCCAGGAGTGTTGGAGGCAGCTGGCAGCAGTCACAGAGGAGTCTCTTCCACCAGCTTTATGCCCATGGAGAGTTTCCCTGCACAGGGGGAATACTCCATTAGCCATCTCAGGGTGCTTGTAAGTCACTTTGATCTTATGCAGTGCAAATCAATCTCGAACTGGGCAATCTAGCCTAATATCCATTGTGGTCTCCAATAAAAGCTAGATTTTCCAAAGTGATCAGCACGCACCATCTGAAAACAGCTCTGCTCCCATTTAGGCACCAACAGAAATAGCAGATTTTCAAAAAAGCTTAACACACTGAAAGTTGCAATTGAAGCTGCTGGGTGCTGAGCACTTCTCCAAATCTGGCCCTTATTTTAGTGCCTAAATGGGGGCTGAGCTCTTTCGGAAACCTGGCCACAATTGCAGGTGCTGAACTTGTGAAAATCAGGCCCTATTTGTCAACATTTACCAACAATTATGACATGTTAATATTTGAGATTCCTCAGTATTTCTCTATGTTTAGAATATAGGAAAATAACTTATCTCAGATACTGGAAAGTAAGTTAAAATCTATATAATATTATAGTTTTATATAATTCTAAATATAATTATACACATGCATAATATAATTATTCTTACTAGTGGTGATGCTTGTGAAATGTAATGGTCACTATAATAATAGAACTAGGAAATAATTTTGTTTTTTGGTGGGAGTGAGCTATAGCTCTAAATACGTTTTCAAAAACAACCTTTCAGGCCTGATTACTTTGTAAGTGGCTCTTAGTAATCTGCTGTCAATAGCTTTTAAAATACCCAAGCTATTTAAGCTAAAAATGTGTTACTGTTGCATGCTATAACATTTTTTTTGCCTCAAAGTAATTATGCCCCGATCCAGCAATACACTTCAGCACATGCATAACTTTCAGTACATGATTAATCCAGGCTGACTTCAAAGAACCAAAGGCTTGATCTTCCATCACTGAAGCTAATGGAAGTCTTTCCATTGATTTGAATGGAAGCAGAATCAAGACTCTACTCTGGCAATTAAAATTAAATATGGTCTTAAATGATTTGTTGGACCAAGGCCTCAGGCTTTACAAACCACAATAGGTTGAAAAACAAATGTTGGGAAACTGTTACATTTCATTTTTTAAATTCTGATTCAAATATATGTTTTAATTATTACTGAACATTCACTGTCAAAACAATCAACTTGGAAATACCACTGTGAGCTGAGATAAAACATACAAAAAAAAAAAAAGGACTTTGAATGCACAGTGTCAGGAACCTAACTAGCTACAACCCCAAGTTCAGCAAGATACTTAAGCACATGCCAAACTTTAATCACATGATTAACCCCACTGACTTCAATGGGAACACACTGTAATTAAAGTTAAGCACATACTCAAGTTGCTTGCTGAACTGGGACTTTAAATGGTGTTGTTTCTAACAGCATAGCTCGCACTCCAAGGGGACTTGTTTTATGCTCACTTTTGTTCAGGGCTATTTTTTTTCCTAAGAAACATGCTGCTAAATCATGTTCTAGTCTAGACTACCCCTCTAGGACTCTTATAGCAGGATTTCTTAATGTGGTTCTCAGACAAGAAACTGCTGCCCCCAAAGGACAGGAAAACCTTTGTGGTACTGAGCTAGCAACAAACATATTTAAATATCATAGTAGCTGCCGCAGTTCTGGTCCCAGTGTCAGCAAGCTAAAGAATGACATGTCATCCTCAATTCACTTAGGGCCTAATCCAAAGACCATTATGGTCAGTGCTGAGATTCCCATTGACTTCAATGGGCTTTTGATCAGCCCATTTGTTATGACTATGTATTGCAGAATATCTGGTTCTGCTCAGAAAAGAGGTGAGTTTTCAGACTATTTATATTGCAGTTGTTCAAATAACCAGCAAGGAGTGAATTAAGGCGGTTTAACTCATAATTTCTCAATTTTTATCAGTATCTGTACAAGGGAGAGTACAGATATTTTCTTTTTTTCTGTACCTCTTCCCTCAAGCTTTGTGTTTTGTCATATAACAGCATGAAATCTTGCAGCCTAGAGTGACTGATGGTTGCTTCTGAAACCTCATTGCTGGTTTAAAGCTGCTAGTTAAGTGATGTTTGCCAGTTTTTATGTTCATAGTTAGTCTTGAACCTGAGTTTTCTGGGTGGCATTACAATGCACTATTTTGCCAATGTTTGTATTATTTAAATTTTCCCCTCAAAAAACTTTATTTATTCTTAGAAAAAGTAGAGTACAATACAGTTGTACAAACAAATGATCATTTATATGTAACTGAGCAAAAAATGTACAAAGATTTCAGACATGTCAAAATACATAAAAATAATTTAAAAAACAACATAAAATATAAAGAACATACAATGAAGGGAAAATAAAATGTCAGTTCAATGATCTTGTATTTTCTTTCACCGTCAGAAGTAACTGTCCCAAGGGGGAATCAAAGAGTCAGGAAAAAAAGATAGCAGCAGAAAGATGACAAGTGGACAGGAAAAGAAAGGTAAGAAAAGGAAAGAATAAAGGAAGAGAAAAATTGGTGTAAGTATAAGAACGTTTAATAACCAAAAAGGTGACTGACACCATATGGAAAATGTGCCAGGGCCTATGAAATAATATCTTGTTGGAGATCTGAGGCGAGGTAAACCTGATCCTGATTAGAATTCTCAGCAGTAATCATCTTTGACTCATTATAATCATATTAATAATCTCATATTTCTATTTCTGAGATACAGTGGGTTTCAGTTCCAATTCCAAAGAGAAAGACTAAAGAGCTAAAGCTGTAAGTGCAGATTTTTTGAGGTAGGTGAAAATATGTGTATCATCATCCAGCACAGATATATGATGCACCGTAGGGAAACTTAAGGCAGAAGATATAAGGCTGTGTATCCCAGTCCAGAAAGATAGGTTGTTGTTTTTTGTTATCCCCTCTCCACAGAACAAATTACAATATTTCAGGGCAATTTCATCACCTTCCTCAATCCTGCACAGTTAGAAAATTTTGCAGAGTGATGACTTGTGGGGTTGCAATTGTATCTATTGAAGTTATTTTGTTGAAAACAGAGTGAAAGCAGTAATGACAACATGATGCTGTTACAAATATATGAGTCAGTTAGTACAATTTTGTTCCTGCTGTGGACAGAGTATTTGATGTCAGCCTCCTTAATTTGAAGAATAGAGAAGAAGGAGAACACTGAGGACAGGAGAAAGAAAAAGCCTGCTCGGTAGAATGATTTTACACGGGCTGATTAAAACGATGAGAAATTATAAGCCAAGCAGCTTTAATTAATACTGTGATAGTTAAAGAATTGCAAATATATGTCATGAAATATCCTTAGGGTCCTTAAAGGAGAGAGATGCTGCAATAATTAACTGAAACTGAGTAAGATGAAAATGACGTAATTTCCTAGCTAGCAGGAAATTAAGATTCCATGTACACCAGCATTATAACTGTGATTTGTGCCAGCCATGTTCTAGTCTCTTCAGATAAAATACATTTATGTTTTATAGTCCTCTTCATTATAGATAAGGAAAGATCGAAAGAGGAATTTGATGAGCAAGTTGTAATAGTGACAAGATGTGGCTTAACAGCCAATGTGTCAATCTCATCTTCTATAAGGGATGCGATACATTTCAGTTCTTGGCAAAGGAATCATTCTGTAAATAGTTGAATTAAGTCAATGACTAGTCTAAAGTTGCTAAGGCTCCTTAATGTGAAGATGTCACATAATTTGTTTTCTGTGATTAGTTCGCGCACACAGATAATTTTACAGGATTGCCATGGTTGACTTTTTTTATTCTTCTCAGTTTCAAAGTTTTAGTTATTCTAGAGTGTAACATTTGGTATGGAAAAAAGCGGGGTGGAGGGCTACAATGGCTCGGTGACTTTGAGGATAGCACAAGAGAATAGTTCTTCCAGGCGGATAGCTGAGTGCAAAAAGACTTAGCAGGCTCCATCGATACTTTATCAGCTAAGTCTATTAGCAGCCATGTTGGGTCATAATGATAATGAGCATTTGGAAACCATCTTTCAGACTGTCAAATAAATTGAAAAAATAGCCAAGACTTGGTGTTGCAGGAAAGCCCTTACAAATTGACTGACCCAAATTATATTAGAGTTTGTTGAGCTTGTGAAACACATGAGTAGGAATTGTACTAAAAAGTTACAGGACTTAGGATGCTGTGACCCTCTGTACCTCAAATTAGCACCCTGGAACCACCATGTTCACCACTGTGATGATATTATGATATGTGTTGTACAAAGTATACCTTGTGATGTATCATTTAAAGTCTTGATCTGTTGAACATAAATATCCTGTTTGATTGTATGTACCATCATTGTACGTGAAGTTATGAAGTACTGCTATATGTGTTACTGAAATATGTTGTGAGGTTGGGAACACCCACAACCAGCCTTTCAGTTACAACAAAGGAA